ACTCAACCACTCATTCAAAACAGCCGCCCATGCATATAAATCAAGTCTTGAAAACATCTACTAAGCCATCTAGGTGGTCACCGGGGTATAGAATATGGAAAAATAAATCACTCACACTCGACCAATGGGGTTAGGACGAAATTCTATGCAAAATATGTGCATACTCATACTCTCAGTCCCTATCATATCTTCACCATGACGAAAACCATTAAATGCTAGAGTTCACATATCGGGTGTAACCACTAACTCGTCAGGAGGACTTGATCAGGTCAAAATGCAACAGGTAGGGCTGGTAAACGGTCGGTAACCGGTTAAACTGGTTACCGACTGACCGGTTTTCGGCATACCAGGAAGCATGGCAGTTCCACCGTTTGCCGATACCGAAATTCCCTCGGTAAACCGGTTACCGAATTGCTGCGGTGCCGGTAATTATCCGGGTACCCGATTGCCGTATGCGCTGATGACGAATAGTGGGGACTAGCCCACTTTTTGCTGCTTTGCTTTCTCATTTTTATGAGTTGGGAACTGGGAACATGTCATCTCATCTCATCATGCACTACACGTCTACACTACAGGTGGAGCTCATAAAAGAAAGCCAGAAAAGTACGGGACGAAGACAAAAATCAATCACCAGACATCAATTATCATTTACACCACACGTGTGACGTATTCTTCCTATTCTCCTTTTCTCTGGCTCGTCCCCTTCAAAAATAAAAAACAGGCAGCTACTGCGGCGGGGAAGCTGCACCGACAGTGGACGAAGAGGTTGCAGTGCTGGGGTTGACGGAGAGGATGCGGCGCGGGGTCGACGGAGAGGTTGCGGTGCTGGGTTGCTAGCCTGCTACGTCGTGGTTCGTCGTTCTGATTACGCTTGCGTCGGAGTGGCAAAAATTGCCGATTGCCGATTGGGGTTCTAATTGGGCGGCGGGAAACTCGTGAGGGCTGGGTTAGACAGAGAAAGCGAGAGAGGAGGAGAATTGCTGAATTAGTCATCTGTAATTCCTTTTCCTGATAGAGAGTCAATTTTACTAATTAGGAGGATCGGGAACGGGTTCGGGCTTCGGGAATGGACAATGGGGAATTAGAATTAGTACTGCGTCGCCGCTCCTGCAAATCCGGTATCGAGTAACCGGGTTCCCGTCGGTTAGTTAACATGCGGGTTCCGGTATACCGCCGTCCCAGATTTACCATCCGACAACCGTTACCGTCCGGTTAACCGGTAACCACAGTTATCGGCACGGTTATCGGTTAAACCGTTAACCGGAAAATCGAATCCCAGCCCTAGTAATAGATATTTAAAAAAATACTTATAATTATAATGAAGGGCTAATACCACTACAACACCGAACTATCAACAAAATGCCACTTGTGTTCTATTCTTTTCAATATTCCATTCATGTCCCATCGTATGATAGTTTTGTGTCATTAGTATCCTATTATTTTCGTTGACCGTTAGAGATAACGGTTGACCAAACGGTAGTCAAAGTAATCTTGACTTTTGATGAGCTGGCAAAAACATGACTGCCACCTAGATGCCATATCAGATTATTTCTATTCAAAATTATACTAAAATTTATAAGAAATAAAATAAAGTAATAGGAAAATAAAATAAAGTAATAGAAATTCCTTCCGGCCACCACCTCTCGAATGCTTAAACTTTATCGACTCGCCGTCGATCTGGGCAGAGAGACTAACGCAGAAAATTAGATCTAGCAACCCCTTTTCACTCTCTCATCTATTCCAACTCCTCTCACTATCTCGCCTCCTAATTTATGGTTCCAATCAAAAGTAGCAACTCAATTAGAGTAGTGAATCAAAGCATCAACAACAAGACCCACATGAATCGGAACAGTGAATTCACAAGAACCATTTGAAGATTTTGATGATGAATATGGAGAAGGATGGGCGTAGGTGGCAGCTAATCCAACTGGATATGTACTCTCTCCCTCCCGACCGACTCGATGAATAAAGAGAAAGGAAGAAGGTGGAGCTAGTCTTCCAGAAGCAGGGGAGCTGGTCTTCGACCATGGCCGCAGCGGAGGAAGCAGGGGAGTTGATCTTCTGATTTGAGTACTCGAGTTGTTTGGTGGTGGTGACGCTGGGGTCAGATCAATGGACGACACACACGGTTGTGAGAGCTCGCCCGGACTCTTCCCCTTCAGCATCGATTCATGCATTCACCTAGAAAAATTCCTTCCCGAATCGCTTGAATTGACCAAGCAATTGGAAGCCCTCAGCGGCAAAGGACGACAGTGGTGCCGAGGTTGAGGACGATGAAGAATATGGATACTCGTTAAAACCTAATCTCGCCGCAGATTATGAAGAATCTGATGGTGGAAGCGGCGCGGTGTTGAGACAGTGAAACGAAGAGATCGAGAAGGAGATCTCGGTGCGGCATTGTTGACACAGTGAAACGAGGGGATCAGTGAGAAGAGCTCATGGCCGCTTATGGAGGCGAGGAGCCGATGGCGCTTGAATTTGGGGGAAGTGAAACGAAGGGATCAGATTCGGGAAGGAAGAAGGGCATTTCTTTTTCTTTTATTTACTGTTTTAAGTGAGTTGAAAAATAAATTAATTTAGAATTAAGTTTCCATGTTAGATGCAACATTGACGCTGACTGGATTTTTTTGTTAGTATTTAACGGTCAACTTTAACAGAAAAATAGTTCATGATAGAAATGGAATATTGAAAAGAATAGGACACAAATGACATTTTGTTGATAGTTCGGGTGTTGCAGTGGTATTAGCCCTTATAATCAATTATAAATGTCCTATTCAAAAATTGGTTTGATATGAGAGTCTTCAACAAAGGATTTATAAGTCCAAAGAATTTTTTTATTCCAAATAAAAAATGATGTTTTTCATAAATCCAAATGATTTTTTACAACAAGAAATGCAGAAGGGCAAATTCCGAAATTTAGAAAATGGAATATTCCAAGAATATTATGTCAACTTTAACGGAATGCACTTAACACAAAATTTAAGTGGTACCGGATTCCACGTATAGCTCCCTCAATTCTCAGACTTTAGTGATACCCGAGGTATTTTACCCTGAAGGAGGTAACAATGTAATATTGGCTCCAACCAAGTCCATTCTGAAACACTCATTTTTATGAGCAAGATTATAATTTTGTGGCCGTCTTTTCTTCCATTTTTCTTTTTTTCTTCTTTTAGAGAACAACAATTTTTGCCACATTCATTGTCTTTTTAAACACATGCCCAAATTTTAAGACTTCCTACAACCTTCACTTTTATTTCCAGCAGAAAACATGCAAAAACCACTCCGTGGAACCTCCAAGATGCAAAAGGCAACTATTATTGTAGACACAAAGAAAGAAAGTTACAAGGCTCAAAGGGGGTCACTAAGGGGTAAGACGCACCAGGACAGTCAATTTGGCCGTGGGCGAACCCTATGCCTCCATCTTCCTTGTTAGTGACAACGTGATTGCTACACATCATGACTAGAGGGATCTATCACATAAGAACGAAATGATCAGACTAAAATATCACATTGCTACCTATATGCTCTACCTCTCATTATGATTCCCTGAACTAGATGCATAAACGGCTGTAAGAAATTATTGATCAATCCAAGTCATAGTTGGTAAACAAACAATTGAAAACTAGACCCCCTACACAACTCTACTACATGTCTCAGTCATCATTATAGGTTGTCTCAATCACAAACAAGTCATTCATGCATCAATGCTAACACCCAATCGATTCACCACACAAAATCACAATGCCAATATGATAATGCAAACATCCGTACTTGGAGCCTCAAATCTTAAGATTAGGATAGTGGACTAGGCTCTAAGCGCGCGCGCACACACACACAACCAAATACTCAGAGAATAAACACCCCTCACACTTAAGTTCGACATTGCCCTCAATGGAGCAAAGTTAGGGAAAGGGAGCGATGTTATCGGTAAAAAGAGGCTGTGGGCTAGACTTGAGACAAGACCAGTCACAAAGAGCAGATTAGAGGAAGGACTAGTCGTTGCAAGAAGGGCTCAACAGAAAACAACCACTAGATCACGTAAATGTCAGAAACAGTCATAAGCCCAAAGGGGCACAAAATGAAAAGAAAGAAGACAAAATATCCAGTTGCATACTTCTCACACAAATAAAACAAAACACAATACATAAATAAGAAGTCCACGATCAATTTGAAGCTCAGAGGCCAGTGAAGTCGATTTTAGTCACGAATGCATCGTCATCCTGTCCAATCGAGCTGTGAACTGTGTCTGTTGCACCCAGAACTGCTCGTGGAACTGGGCGTGCTAGGCGAGAATCTGCTGGTTCTGAAGGGCCAACTCAGCAAACTGCGCAGCAATAGTGTTAGTTAAAGGTCCACCTTGCTCCTGGAGGCGATAGGGCGGAAGATCTCCAGGTAGGAAGCTATAGATGCTCCTCGAGATCGGAAGCCACCTAGTCGTCCCCATCTGCCAAGTCGTCACTCTTTGAAGAAGAGTTAGGAGGGAGACTAAGGTCTTCGACTTATACTTTTCAAAATTTACATATTGGTCCAACGTTTAGTGCCATTTGAATCTATGATCCAATCCACCAATCTATTTGATCCAATCCACTTAATCCATGGATACACTAATCCATAGATCCAATTCATTTACCACCTTTACTCATTTGTGGGTTAAGATCTATTTTTATAAACTTTTTTTTTTTGAATATTATGAACTTAATGTTAAGATATGAAATTTCTCAACTTTACAATCGACATAAATTAGTTTATGTGGGAGAAATTATATTTTAAAAATAATTTATAGGTATTTATTCACTTATCTGTCACATTTTACCACGATTGGCACAATTATTAATTCATCCTTGATTGCTTTACAGCTGGAGGTTTTTTTTTACTTGTATACATGTCGTTCTCTTAATTACAAGAATCAAGTCAGCTGAACAATTTTAACTCCCAATAAGCCACTAAAATGTGGACAAGTAATCTCCCCAATCCAACATTAATAAAAATAATATTAAAATTTAATTACCCTTTCCAGGTTTCTTTTTCTGGATTCCCTTTGTCTTCGACACATTCTTAGCATTTGTCTTCGGCACATTCTTCTTGCCACCGCTCTTAGGTGGCGGTGCACGACTCACCGCCGGTGAACGAGGTCTCAAAACCGGAGGACGGGGTTTCACCGCCGGCGGATGAGGGCTCACAACTGGCCGACGAGTACTCGGGACCGGGGTACGGGGTCTGACAACTGGAGGGCGAGGACGGCCGGGTGCCGGCTGCACCACGGGAGGACGACGAGGAGCCGTCGCGACCGGCGGTGGCCGTGCACCGCCACTGACGGGGCTCTTGGGATTAAACACACGACAACTCTTCCTGACCTCGCCACCCTTACCCACGAGGCTCCCCATCTTCACCATCGCCGCGGCAAAGCTCTGCCGAAAACTCGACTCGCTCCTCGCGAACCCCGCCACCATCGCCGACGTGGACGGGTCGGTGGCCAGCTCCTGGTCAATCTGCATCACTCCGCGCTTCACGGTCAGCTCCCTGTAGAACGACGTGTCAACCACGAACGACGTGTTCTGATCCAGAAACGCCGTTGGATTGTTGCTCGCGGAGCAGGTCCTCCGGAGGGTGCCAGCCAAGGCCGGGTCCATGGTCGGGTCGGGCTTCCCGGTACCTTGGAAGTTGGAGGCCCGGTCCTGGAAGAACGCGCAGTGGGCCACCCCAACCGTGTGGGCCCCCAGGAGGGTGACCATCTCGTTGAGGGTGAAGCCCTTGGGCCTGAAGAATTGGGCGAAGGCCGAGGAGACGGGCATGGTGGGGCCCGGGAGGTTGACGTCGTTAACGTTGGAGGTCAGGCCGTCGAGCCTCCCCGTTGGGAGAGGGTAGGTGGGCCCGCCAGAGAGGGCGACGGCGTCTCGGGTGGCGAGGGCGATGACGTCGGCGCAGGAGACGCGAGAAGGGCACGCGGCTTCGAGGGCCGTCTTGATTTGGTCGATGAGGTCGAAGTCTCGGACCGTTTGGTTGGGTCCCGCGGCTTTCTCCGACTGCTTTTGGGCTGTCGAGTCTATTAGGATCGATGCATCACACCCCTACATTTGGGGAAGACGGAGTATTTGTTAAATAAAAAAACATATACATATTAAAAATCATACCGTGACTTTAACCTGTAAGCATAAAAGCGTAAATTTTCAAGTTTTAAAACACAATTTTAAACCATATTAGTTAGGAAAATTGCGATTCTAGATAGAAGCATTTTGGTGATCTAGAAACATAAAAGCGTAAGGTTTTAAGTTTTGAAGTGTGATTTTGACTACATTGTTGGGAAAAAAATGCATTCTATGCATGGTAATGGTACACATCGATAAATTCCAGTGGTAAAATAAGGTGTAGACGGTAGAGTGAGCGGTGACTAAAAATAACAAACTACAAGGGCTTGTTATCACTATGCTAGAACCTGGAGGTCAGAGGTTCGAATTCCTTAAGTAGTACCTTAATAAAAGATGAGAATGCTTACTTTGATGAAACAGTCGTGGAAGTGCATGCGAAGAAGGGCAGCGGTGACGGATTTATCGGTGTTGAATCTTTTCTGCACGAGTTGGCGGACGATGGTTTCAGCTTGCGGGCAAGTGGATTGGTAAAACCCTACCCTGAGATCTGCCGAGACCTGCTCAACGGCCGCATTAATGCAGAGAAGAAGGAAAACCACAAGCAAGGGAGCTCGGGCAAGCATTTTGATGCCCATTAGATTACAGGTGAAGAAGAAAAGGGATTCTGATTTGCTTACAAACCAAACCAGAGGGGGAAAGCTAGCTGTGGGAGAGATAATTAATAACGTGAGGGATCGGAGTTGAGGTATATATATAGAAAGGAGAAAGGTGTGTAAGCTAGCTTGCTAGGATGGGAGATTTGGTAAGGGTTTTATGCAAATAATTATATAAGGATTGAAAAGCTATACAATTATTAACTATATGCCTCTTGTCTAGCTAGACAAGTGGGGATCCATGGTTTCGAGGAACTTTTTTATCTATTTAATTATGAATTTCTCCTCCATGAATATGAAAGCTAGAGAAGAATGTGCCAACCATTTCTGTATTGTATATATTGATATTCGAGATTCTGTAAAGTTTTTAACTGTGCGAAAGATGTTGTTTTTTCTCCATTGTTTGAAAGGCAAATTTTTGTTTTCTAATTGGAGTACTTTTCCTATTTGTATTAGTGCGATGTGTTGCTTGCATGACGTGCAATGCGATCGGTGAAAAAAGATATACAATTTGGACATGCATGTGATAGCAGCATTGTTGAAGAAATATTAGGATCTACGGGACAAGGGGCAGTCTCAGATAGACCGTTTCTATGAGGCGTGGGCATCCCAAAAGGTAATGGAAAGGTTTTCTCGGACAACACGGAGATTGATCCTTGAGTCCAAAAGCAGAAAGGAACTTGATCACAAGACGCACCAGTCGAGTATGTAGAATTTGATGATGCGGAATTGAAATAACACAAAAGACATGGGATTTTTACGTGGTATCCTCGATCGATTGATCAAGACTAATCCACAGTGAGTTCATAAGAGCTCACGGCTGATCTCTTATCAGGATTACATCTTGACGGATTGCTATCACACAAGTCGATAGCTAAGCTTATATAGATAAACATAGGGTTAAAACCGTAATCCAACGAATCATAAGAGGTCCATCAATGCCCAATACTAACACGGTTTAAGTAACCGCAACAGAGTAGAGACGAAAGTCGACCTTCGTGATTCGAATGTACCGAATGGAAGAGTAATTTATTTTTGGCACATCATGTTAAACATTAACCATAAAATTAATCAAATAAAATAAAATTTGATTATGACAATGATGACCTCTGTTTATCTTCTTCCACATGCCAAAAAGAATAATGTATCCCTTCTGCCTGCTAATTAACAAGTGATTAATTCCATATATCTGAGATAGCCTCGGTGGGTATGATTAAGTGGTTGTGATCGACGACATATAAGAAAGACAACTAGCAAAAGATCACACACCGAGATCGAGGATCGCATAACACCTCCATTGAAAAATGAAAACCATCAAGATGAAAAGAACATCACTCTACACCAGCTGGAGATCTGATCCAATTAGCTTGTTTATGCTAGCTTCGTAATGTAAGTATGTGTTTATATCTTTCTATTTTCATTCTACGATATATTATTGTATGTATGCGGTGATAATTTTTATGGATATATATATCTTAGAATGCTCGAATTAACGGGTAAATAAATATTTATACCAATAAAGTAAGCAACGTAATGCGAACACGCGAGCTTGATCTAATGATAATATCAATAATTTTGAATAAGGAGATTCCATGTTGAAATATTTTCGGTAACACCTAACTATAAAAATCGATATATATGTCCCCATGTAAAAAAAAAAAAAAATAGAAGAAGTAATTAACGTAGCCAAATTTGCTTCCTTTAATAGAAGTAGTTTTATAATGGCTGGAAGATGGTAGCTAGCCTTTGGAATGTTGTCGTCAGCGTTGTGTATTTTACGAACAAATTAATTTCACCTAGCACATTCAACTACGTGTATATATCAACATGATTCCCCACATTCCATATATAAACAAAAGCAGCCCAGTCTTGGTTAGTAAAAAAAAAAGTTGTACAAACTATATATATAATCCAGGTTAGCATACGCTTTACGCCTGCGTTTACATTATCGTACGCCCATCGAGTTTTATTATTTAGATAATAAGTTAAACAAAATTTTGGTTATGATAGTATACACTAATCATTAATGGGTGAACCCCGTCCCTAATTCTCTAACCCGAACCATAAAATTCATTCAATCTTAAAAAATAATAACCGACGATTCTGATTCATCATAACATATCAAAGTACATATAATAAGTGTGAATGCAGGTGTACAACGTACACCTAACCTATATATACACATAATTTTAAGATTCTTTATTAAGAGTGTTATAGCTGACAAGCCTTACTATTAAATCTCCCGCAATAACTCAAATTATCTAGATAAATTACTAATTATTACCATATCATTGATTGGTTAAGATATCATATATTCGTAACCTTATAATCTCAATATTAGGAATCGATTTAAACAGAAAATATAATATGCAGGCCTATAAAATTCAATGTTTTGCAATCCAAATCTTCATTGGAATATATGGAAAGGTTGAGACAATGAGATTGGAGAGAGCGAGAGAGGGCATATGTTCAAATATCGATCAGATCAACCAGCTGTTCCTCAATCGACATTGTATGTTATGCGTCACTTTCCTTTCGTCAAACAATAATTTAATTGGGGGCATAATAGCAACTTGCATCATCTAGCAATTGGCAATGGCATTATTTGGTGGGTATTTTTTATAATCAGTTTGTTTTTAGGGCAAACAGCCTAGCACGTTGAAAAACGCCCCTGAAAAAATGAAGCTACGCAGCGGGATGGGGAATCTCAGTCGTATAGTATTTTCAGGTTCAATGATCAGTTGGGTTATTGCGCAAATAGTTTGAGCGGGTAATTAAAAATGCATATATCAGGCTCTGTTCATATATTGGTGGTCGGGAGTTGACTTCTATAATTAGACGTGATGACGATGAACAGAACCAATCAACAATGTGGATAGTTGTGGGTACGTGTTGACTCTTTGCCCATTTGGAGATCACCCACCTACGGTTTCAGACGGAAACAAACGCCGGCCGGCTGGCCTCCCTCACTAACTTTGATGTCCGAAGAAAAAGTTCTGAGTACCTCATTGTAAAGTATGTAAAGTTATAGGATTATATTGTAATATTTATTTACTTCGTGTACTCTTTAGGAAGTCCTTTTACTATATACTCTAAAATATTGGTGTTTCGAGATCCAAATTGAGCTTGTATCATAACTTTAAAAGTACAAGTTCAGTTTGTATCATAAAGAAATTTGTACAAAAAGGTATAAGTACAAACTTAATTTGTACCATAACGTTAAAAGTACAAGTTCAATTTGTACAAAAACGTATATGTACAAATTGAATTTGTGCTATAATTTTTAAGGTACAAATTCAATTTGTACCATAAAGATTTCTTTTGTATGCATGAATGAGGATGATGCTTGATTCTTAAATCATCGATACTATAGACCATTGATTATGGATCATAGAGGCCCACATTTAATTATGTGTTATCCTAACTTCCTTGTTCTTCATTGATTAGGTTATGGCATGAAGCAAAAGCATGCAGTAGTTAGTCAAATCTCTATCGCAAGAGGCGCATGCTTGGGTAGAGAGTGGCCTTAGAGGAAGGGATAAGGCATCATAATAGATGATGCATATGCATCTTGTTGAACAGAATGAATGCATGATCATCTGGAAAACACTACCTAAACATTAGTTTTTAATTGCATTGCCGTGTTTCTTTCTTTCTTGCATTAGTAGAGTAGATTTCGAGTAAAGAGCACCTCAAACCACTTGTTTCAGTTTCAATGTATTGCACACTCGATCATAATAGGTTGGTTTTGAGTACTTACTATTGAAAGACCTCGTGGAATACGACCCTACGAACTCCTAGGATATTTATAACTCGATTACTACATCACACATTTGCATCTACTACTATTTTGTAAGATTGAAATAGGTTCAAAACATAAACAACAAAGAGTTTAGTTGTCCATGCGATATTGAGGGAGAAGCATCGATGGAGTCATTCTCTCCTCAATTGAATAGAGTTTTAGATGGTTTTTTTAGAGTAAAGGTTGTTTTTTAACTAAAGACTGAGCACCTATTTATAGTACAAGAGAGAGGGGGTTTCTAGTCTTTTTTCTCCTAATGTCGGCAAAAACCTTCATTATCCTATGTGGAGTCGGTTTCCTTCAACTTGTGGGCGTAGTAGCTTGCTAAAGAAGGCTTCTGAAAGCTAGGGTATGAGGTGACATAGCTTCCTTATCATACATGGATTCGGTTTCCTTCAACTTGTGGACAAAGTAGCTTGCTAAGGAAGGCTTCTGAAAGCTAGAGCACGAGCGGCTGCTTTTTTCGTGTGCTGGAATCTTCGGCCCATGGACTACCTTTCCTCGTTCTTTTATGCTTCCAAACTAGGTTTCCTCCATCGGTCATTGGATCAGATGTTGGGCCACCACTGGTTTCTTCTTTAGTTTGGGTCGAGTCTTCCCCTATTGGGCTTGTCTTGGGCACTCACAATTACTGCTAGTAGACTTCTTTGTCATCAGACCTCGTCTTTATCATGAAAGCTCCATATTCTTCTATTTATAGCTCATTTGGTCCTCCAGAGTTCTCCAATGCTTGATCCAAATCTCCTTAGGCTGCTATGTCTCTTCAAAACCATAAAAAAAATATACCAGGAAGGCATCAAAGAGTACAAAATTATAACCTAAGTCTATCAAAGGTTCATTGATCAATTAGTTTAGATTTAGATGAGAAATACTAGAGAAAGGACTAAAGATGCTTTGATAAAAGGTGAACATGTATCAAGAAAGTGTCATCAGTGGTCATCTTACTCGAACTCTTCCTACTGGATGTTTCCAATGGTGGATGCCTAGGTAGGTGGATTACTCCTGGATTAAGATTCAAGAAGGCATAGGAAGTATTCAAAGCCTTCAACTTCTTGCCGTGAATCCAAGAAAGATTGGATTATTGTAAGTTCTTCAATACTGCAACCTTCTTCCTCCATTGCTAATCACAGGGGTTGCATTTCGTCCTCTCCTTCTTCAGAAGTTCTAA